ATTCCGGCCCCATTGAGGACAATGGCAAACCGCCCCCTCCCCTCCCCTCCCTTCCCTAGGGCAGGAGCTCAGCCGTGCCCGGGAATGAAGTCGGCTTTGTGCTGGGGCCACGGAAACTCGCTTTCTGCCTCTGCTCATGTAAACCCATGTTTTGGGGCGGGGTTTTGCCTTAGGGAGCGGGCGAAGGGACGTGTGCGTCTCTTTCCTCCAGCGGAGACCCCTTCCGGCGCTTGACCTGCAAGCACATTTGGCTGGGGCTCTCCCCGCGCGGGGTGTCAGGCCCGGGTCAGTGGACACCACATTTTGACAAGGGAGCCCCTGACCTGTTCCGCAGGTAGCCACCCACGTCCGCCAAAGAACGTGCATGGGACGCTTTGGAGAGGAGAAGCATTTAATCCCTGTAGCTGCTGCTGTAAGGTGTTAGCAACAAAATAGAAAGTGGGGTGTGTGACAGGTTGGACCTCCCCTTTCCAGGGTGCCACCTGATATGCTGGGATCCCACTGAGGCTGCCTGTCCCACCCAGGAGTGCCGCCCTGAAATCCCACCCCCCACAGAGGCAGCGGAAGGTCCCGCTGCCGAAATACCGCCGCGGTCACCGTCCCCCAAATTGTAATGGGTTGCGCCTGCCCTGGTCCCACCAGCCTGGGTCCCCCACACTCTGTGCTGCTGTGTCAGGCTCTCAAGGCCCCTTCCAGCACACACACAGGTAGGGACACACCCAGCTGTAGAATCACACACAGTCTACACTGGTGGTGGGCAGCCTGCAGGCGTGGCCGACCACAGCTCCCAGTGGCCGCGTTTGCCATTCCCGGCCAATGGCAGCTGCGGGAAGTCGGGAACAGCGAACTGCAGCCACTGGAAGCTGCGGGCGCCCATGCCTGCGGATGGTCAATGTAAACAAACTGTCTTGCGGCCCGCCAGTGGATTACCCTATCGGGCTGCAGGTTGCCCACCACTGATCTACAGTCAGCTCTCTGTGGGAGAACTCAGCTAGGGGATTGCCAAGCACTCCTGTGCAAACACCCTCTGTAGTGTAAACCCAAAATTATACTGTCTTGCATTGTGTGGAGATCTATATAGCGTGAGCTAATTTAAATCACCCTCTTCCTCAATGTGGAGGAAGATATGCACAGCTTTTTGCCTCCCCAGTTATGAATTGTACAAACTGGCTTTTGGAATAAATATGAAACAAGTTTATTAACTACAAAAAGTAAATTTTAAGTGATTATAAGGGACTGCAAACAGAACAAAGCAGATTACTGAGCAAATAAAACAAAACACACAAACTAAGCTTAATACACTATGGAATACTGGCTACAAATAATAAATTTCTCACCCTAAATGTTGTTTCAAGCAGGTTGCAGAGTTTCTTGAAGGTAAACTGCACTGCTTGCAGCTTAAATTTTCAGGTATTCCTTTTACAGGCTGTCCTTTCTCACCTGGACTCAGCCCCCGCCTCCCCAGCTCAGTTTCTTTGTTTCTTCAGGTGTTTGCAGCAGTCTTCCTTCTTGGGTGGGGAGGCAGTGGAGAAGAGCCCTGATTACCTCACTTCCCAGCCTTAAATAGGATTTACCTATGGTGGGTATCTTTTGTTTCCTATCCTACCCCCTTCCAGTGGAAAAATACCAGCTCATGATGGGACCGTGTACCAGGTGACATGATCACGTGACCTTGTAGTATCAAAGCAGCATCCCATGAAGTTTCTCAGGAAAGTGGGAGGTTAGTATCTTCAAAGTTCTATTGTCCTTCTTAATGGCCCATCCAGGCTGATTGCTTAATGTCTGGTGGGAGTTCCCCCAAGTACACACACAGTTGTAATTGTTACATAGTCAATATCCCTAACTTCAGATACAGAAATGGTACATGCATACAAATTGGATAATCACTTTCAGTAAATCATAACCTTTCCAATATCTCACATGACCCATCTTGCATAAAATATATCATAGTTATGCCATATTCATCATATAACAATATGTTTATGAAGAATACGGGGTGCCGCATCACAGGGTGGGGGAAAGGAAGTATGTGTAGAAGATTTCAAACCTCATGAAGGGTGACATTGGGATTTATCTGGGTCTTCAAAACAATCAAGGGGCGCCTGCTTACTTCCCCATATAGAAGATTCTGATGGGTTTGCAAGGGTATATACAAAGGCTATAAAAGTCAGACAGGGAAAGTTATCGGAGATGGAAAATGTTAGGTCATTATAAGTCTATCTTCATGACAATACAGGACTGTTCCCTGCCATCCATTGTCTAGTGGTTGTCCAGTCCAGTTTTATGTCCCAATAATAATAAAATAATAATCATAAGAAGAAATAAAAATCCTATACAAGTCACTTAAGAGCTTCCTATGTTCAATGTCCTATTCAGAAAAAGAATCAGCAGACATGGGTTACATAAGAATGGCCATACTGGGTCAGACCAAAGGTCCATCTAGCCCAGTATCCTGTCTTCCAACAGTGGCCAATGCCAGGTGCCCCAGAGGGAATGAACAGAACAGGTAAAATCATCAAGTGATCCATCCCC